CCAACGGTGAGTCACCCACTAAAACTTACTCTACAAGGCACCAAAATGGCCCCAAGAAGGAGAACAACGAATTTGGGGCTTTGGATGACAAATTGAACAGGCAAACAAGCTCCAATTTAGATCGAATTTAGTGCGTACGACTTGTTCAAAAAGAAGAATCCAATAATGGATCACCCGCCTAAACCGTATCGTAAATGGTGTTTAAATTAAACCAGAAATAAAATAACACATATTTTTTCGGATGAAAATTTGAATGGGATAACGAGCTACTATGGATATTAAAGTTTATGGGTACGAGCATCTCGACGAGACGAATCCAACAATGGGTTACCCACTTGAAATGGTCTTCCATCGTCGTTCAAATTAGAACTAAAAGGAAACGATGAACTTTATCATGTCACTAATATTAATGTACCTTGTTTGATTAATTTTTTAAATTAATGTACTAAAGTTGATATCATTTTGTTGGAAAGATTCAATATAGTGGAGTAAAAATAAAATTATACTAAATAAATTACATCGCTAGTTGTTAACTCCAAAAGTTTAAGAATGCTCCAAACAGCAATCGAAGTAAATATGGAGATTGAGAAATTTAATTTATTGCTCAAGTGGGAAACTCGTTCTGTTATTGATATGACGTGGATTGTGGAATATGGGCCTACCTTTAAGTCGAATACTACATTTATTTACAGATAAAATTTATTATTATTATCGAAAAAACAAGTCCAAGTATACTTTTAATTTTCTAAATGGGCCAAATATGGTTAATTGAAAAGTACAAAATTGAAAATGTACGAATTTTGGAGGATTTCCATTTTCGTATTGGAGGTCATGTATGAATATGGTGACCACGCGCGTATAGACACTAGAGAAAAGCGGAAATATGAATGCTACTAGATATGGTATAATAAAAAATACTAATTTACATTATAAAATGTTACAATTTTATTTACATGATTTTTAAAGTATGTCATTTCATTTGAAAATAGAAAAAATATAACTATATATCTAACTATTAAATGGGCCGCACGTTATTTATATAAATATTTTATAAAGCTGCAATTTATTTTCTATAGTGTATACTAACATACATATGTAAATAAAAATTAAATAAAGTGAATTACTACATATGAGGCCACCAAAAAAATAAACTATAGGCTATAGCTACATAGAAAATTTGGCTTCTTGTGCACAACCCATAAACAGCAAAAAGCTCAAGAAAGTTGTGTTTTTAGGAAAGTTCCACTAATTGGGGCAACATAGGATTAGATATGAATATTGGAGAACAGCCACAAAATTTTTACAAAAGATGAAAAATTAATCATAAGCGTGGGGAATTAAAACAGATACATAACTTTCCCACTCTATAATGAGTATCAAACCCATGATAAAAATAATCAGTTGGGTATCTTTGTGGAATAATTACTCATCATTTTCCTATATATTGTTTTTTCTTTTTTACTTTAAGAGCCATTTAAATGTCCCTACTGCTACTGTAATTCATCAAATATGAATCATTAATTTTCTTTTACTTTTTTGTTCCACCAAGTGGAGCAAATAAATTAAAACGTAGGTGGACTTTGTTTCTCAGATTTTCATGCACAAATGTGTTTTCGTTCTTCTTGATGATGAAAGCTGATAAGGCTAATTAATACGGCATGCTGATTTCATCAGCTTTCAGAAAATGGCTTTTTTTCTCGTCACTCTAGAAATGTAAAGGAAAGAATGAAGAATGTTTGTTTATTAATTAAGTATCATATCATATAGTAATAAGTATTGCTACGTACTCTCTTCATAAAACAACGGTGTATCATGGCAATTTCTACTCATTTCAAGCAAACATATTAGAATATAAAATTATTACAAACGTATGACGAATCGACCTGCCTAACAGATAGATGTCTCACATAAGACTTGGTCTAACTGTTGGGCAAATCAACTTGTTATACTATGTGTACAAATACATACTTACAATATCAAATATGTATATAAAAATAATTAAAAAGGCTAGCAATGTTTTAAATACAGTACCTATAATCATACCAGAGAAGCCTTTGGTAGGGAGAGACAATTGGTTTTATTGCCAATTTTAAAAGTATTAATAAATATTAATTTAGTTTATTACTATAATATAAATAATATACAAAAATCAATTTAATTAATGCTAAAGTTCATTAAAAATAATATAAAAATTATAAACATGTTAAATTAAGTGCATAACTTTCAAATTAAGTAAAAAAACTTTGTATAAATACAAGATACTAAAAATATTCACATAACGGTATTTTAGCCTATTTTATGATACAATCAATATTTTTCAGTATAAAAATAGTATTTTATATATAAAATAGAGGTATTTAAAGTGTTATTGTAACAGTCGAACCACCACTATCTAGTATTATCGGCTAGTAGGTATGGTTTTTAAACGATTTGTACAATTGCGTAACGACATTGATCGCACTCGTTAAGTATATAAATATTTTGTTGACACTTAAATCTATTTGTTAATTTTAATTTATACCAAGACTATTTGAAAAGAATAATAGACATTACTTCGAAAATATGATATATGTCATAATTTCTATTAATTAATCCTTCAAATGCAAATATGTTAAATCTGATAAGAGAAAAGAAACAAGTGTCAATAACGCTTAATTAATGAATTTGTCGTAATATCGCTTATGTAGACCAGTATTAAGAATAACTTACATTCAACATATAAGTTTTATCAAAACTAGTGTCCTTATGACGCAGGTTGTATGCACCAAATTCTTATGATATTTATGTAACTAAAAAAATATTTCTACATGAAAAAAAAAACATTTAAACATAAGTAAAAAAAGTTAAATGATATGGTTAATAAATGATATTTGAAGCAACTAGTTGAATATGATAATATATATTAGTCCAAATGGAAATGATAACGGTTATATAACAAATTTTAAAGCAATTTTCAAGAAATTGTCAAAAGTTTTCTAACATATGTAACTATATATGAATTTATTTATGATTTGATTGCAATATAAGAAAAGAAATAACACAAAAGATTAGCGAGAAAGGGGAAAAAGCATTTGCTTTGGAGATATATACGAAGAACACTTTACAGGCCAATAATTCAATCACCCCCGAGCCACCTCAGCAGAAATATGGAAGCCAAATTTCACGGAGTTAAAATTAATTTATTAAAAAAGAAAAAGGAAAAAAATCAAGGGTAATTAATATTAGGCCTTAGACCTCATCTAAAAGGTAACTAATAAATAGTTCATTCACGATACATAAATCTGTCTCTCTACATGCATCATTGCCTATTGAAGATTGGAATATTATATTTATTTGAATCTGAAAAAATTAAGAAGAAAGAAGAAGAAATAGAAGGAGAAGAAATGTCGTCATACAAACAGGCTTTAAATCACATCACGTAATTCGGCGTATGTCTTTTCCTTAATAAGATGCAAACATCTGTATACGACTACAAAATAATCATAACTCATAATCCTCAATATGCGTGCGTGTGTGTGAGAGAGCTACTGCGTTTTACTGTTCTGTGTGAGTATTTTATTATTTTTTATTTTCCTATTTCATATTTATTTATTTATTTATTTATTTATTTTGGAAGGGGGTTCATTAAAGAACAAGGGGAAACCTACAAAACGTAAAGAAAAGACGCACTCGTTTGACGTGAAGTGATTCCATTCCACCATCTTCTTCTACATCTTCAATAATTTTTCACCTTTTTAAAATTTATCCCTCCAATAATTAATTACTAAATTGAGATCTTGGGAAGAAGGGAATATAAGCTCCTCTCATGACTAAATTACCCCTTGAATTGCATGGCATGATGTAGATTTTTACCTAGTTGATAGAAGAATACTGTTAAGCAGGTCTTACGATTATGTAGTCATATATTTTTTTAATATATATACATATTTTTAATTGAGATATAATATAATATTATAAAAACAACATAAACAAAAGTACAATTGTATTATTGGAATGATCAATTATTGAGAGTAAAAACCCTATTTATTTACCCTAGAAAAGTTCATTGTGAGACCCATGTAATTAAGTTCCTCATATATATCTCATGCATTGTCATTCGCATTCGCATGTATAATATATAAATGTGTTCGTCCTAATTAACTATATGTGTTGTTCATCAATTGTTATCTGATCCTAATTCAATATGTTTTCAAAATGACATGGTTTTATTTCTTTTTTAATTTTGTTTTTATGGATTTGATAGTTGCATGAATTGAATAAATGAATTGTATAAGGAATATAGCAATGAGTATATGGAATGGGTATAGTAGTATGAAATTTTTCCGTTTATATTTTATTTATTCTTTTTAGCATTTTATCCTTATCCCAAGTGATATATGAATGAGCTTTTAGTGACGGAATACAAAATTGGTTAAGGAAAAGCAACCATATTGGGGAATTCCAAACGACACACATAAAATTATCAGTTTACAAAAAAACACGCACTGGCAATGAAGCAGATAGTCCACCAAAAACAGCAGTTTTTCAGTGTTTGGAAGGACCAAAGGACAAATAACACAAAAAACAAGACCAAAATAATAAAATTGTTTTTCAATTTTTATCCACGAAAAAGAAAACATAAATCCGATCAAGTATTTATTTAGTACACTCATTTTCGATATTTCAATGTTAATTTTTCATAAAATTTGATAAGTATACTAATTAGGGAGTAGAGAGTATTAATTAATAAAAGTAGAGAGAGAAAAGAGTGTCACGGGTTTGTCTTGAAAAGCCCTTAATCCACAGTCCTAGAAAGACACATATTCCCCTCTCTCCTCGAATATACAATGTATCAAAATAACAAAAATAATAATAACAATCCTTCCCTTTGGGCTTTCCACCCCCACTAACCCAAAAAATAATAATAATAATAATAATAAAATAATGAATAAATAAAATCGTTCTCTCATATACATACACACATATATATATATTAGCTACCATACCACTTCACTGATACACTCCTCACTCATCATCTCCAATCAAACAAACCCTCACTTTGAAAAACCCTTCGTTCCTTTCTCAGCAATTAAATTAAAAGAAAAAAAGAAATTAATCAGGCATAATTAATTTAGATGGCGATGATGATGGAGAATTCGTGCGAGGGCATATTGCTGTCGTTGGATTCACAAAAATCGGTGCCGGCGCCGTTTCTGACGAAGACGTACCAGCTGGTCGATGACCCATCCACCGATCATATAGTCTCCTGGGGAGACGACAACTCCACCTTCGTCGTGTGGCGGCCGCCGGAGTTTGCTCGAGACCTTCTCCCCAATTACTTCAAGCACAATAACTTCTCAAGCTTTGTACGCCAGCTCAACACCTATGTATGTATATATGCACTGGACTATCAGTCTCTTTAATTAATTGATTCTTCTTCAATCGCCGGCCGGCGGGAACTGATTTTCTCTTTCTCTTTTCAATTTTTATTTTGTTTGGTTATAGGGTTTTAGGAAAATCGTGCCGGACAGGTGGGAGTTCGCGAACGAGTACTTTAAAAAGGGGGAAAAGCACCTCCTCTGCGAGATCCACCGCCGCAAGACCGCCCAGCCGCCGCTACCAAGCCCCACCGGCGCCGGACACTACCCTTACTTCTCCTTCCCCACCACCCGCGTCAGCATCTCGCCGCCCGACTCCGACGACCACTGGTGCGACTCCCCTCCTCCACCGCCGCCGCCGACGAATCCCATGTCCACCACCGCCGCCGCCGCCTCTCTGACGGCCCTGTCGGAGGACAACGAGCGGCTGCGGCGGAGCAACACCATGCTGATGTCGGAGCTCGCCCACATGAGGAAGCTCTACAACGACATAATCTATTTCGTCCAGAACCACGTCAAGCCCGTCGCCCCCAGCACGTCTTACCACCACCACCACTTCTCAAATCCGCCGGCGGCGGCGAGCGCCTCCGTGCTGCAGAAGCCGCTGAACCAGCTAATCGGGTACCACCAGAACTCCGTCAGGCAAACGGGGAATAATTACTCATCTTCATCCCCAAGCCATGCCGGAGTGACGATAATGGAGGAGCCGAGTGAGCAGTGCTTCGGAACGAAGCTATTTGGGGTGGCCCTTTCATCGAAGAAGAGACTCCACCCAGAATGTAATAACACAACTCTTGAGACGAACAAGAGCAGGTTGGTACTAGACAAATCTCATGATTTAGGCTTGAATCTCATGCCTCCTTCCCAATATTAGTTACATTTTTTCTTTTTTTATCTGTATTTTTTTTTTTTTGTTCTTTTTGATACAATGTTTGGGATGAATATGGTTTGTGGTTGGGAGAGAGTACGTGGACGTTGTTGGCCTTCTTCTCCTTTTTCTCAATTTTAACTCTTTTCTGTAAATAAAATTATTTATGAACTATGATTTTGCAGGTTTCTATGTTTTTTGTTTTTAATTAACTCATCATGATCACCACTTGTTTGACAAAATGCCTATGTTNAAGAAAAGGTGAAATATACAAGTGGCGAGGAAGCTTTTCTGTTTGGTTTCAGTTATAAAACTGAAAAAGAAGGTATAGCAGAAGCTTGGCTGTCAATGCCAAATGCTGTTTTCATTTCTTTGTTTTCTGGAACTTTTTTCTGAACATTGCATTAATGCACCATACGTACATGTATGACCTTGTTCCCCAAACAAAATAGACAGGTACCAAAGTAAATAAAAATTAATAATATTATAATACTATAGCAACATAATTATTTTGTTAATAGTGAGAATTCAACTTAGGATTTTACCAATTTGTGTAGTTACATCTGTATGATATAATTATACATATTTAAGTGCGAGTTAATGAATGATTTAATTGATATTGTTGTTATTTTGTAGTAGAAAATTACAACTTATTTGTAGTAAACCAATTTCTGTACCAATTGGAAATATTTTGAAGGATAATTATTCTTCCATCCATTAGATAAACCATCAGATACACAGGAAACGAAGGCCATCGATCGTATCTGTGTTCCAATTATTTAATGGAAAATGTACAGTTGAGTGAAAAAAGATCGAAAATAAAATAAGACTAGATAAAATGTACAATCATTCAAGCAAACCTAAATATGGAAAATATCCATGATGATTGATAAGAACATACATATTATCATATAATCATATATGGGACACATTGATAGTAGTATTAGATAGTTGTACTACACTTGGTCAACTGTATTACACAAGACTTGACCAGCTTCGTTTGCCTAGTTGTTATGTGTATAATGCTGTGTTTGTGTGTGTGTGTGTTTAAATAGAAAGANATTAAAAATCCAATTTACCGTGGTGTATCTAACAGTATAATATTGAATAATAAGAATATATATTCTGTATTAGTTCCCTATATCATTGTGGAAACATCGATTTGTGATTGCTAAATATCAAACAAAGGAACAAAATATACTGTTCACTATCCTAAACTACTACGCAAATCCCGTGCGATGCACGGGTAAGAGATATTTATAAGTATTTATAAATTATAAATTCTCTCATTAAATAGTATTTATAAATTAAAAACATGGAATCAATATGTAATACAATGTACCTATACTAATTTATTGAAAATTAAATTGTGCAAAATACATAAAAATGTCTATTTAAAATTAGTACACAACTTGTGTGTTGCACATAACTGATAATAAATTACATTATATTTGTTTCAAAATATGTGTCATTTCAAAACTTTTATTCAGAAATTCGATTTGACTATAACGTGGTTCCATAAAATAATTATTTTGATAAAACTTGATCATATATTTAAAAACTTATGTGAATAATAAGTATAACTATAAAACTCATATTGTTTCATTTATTAAAATGAATTTATTTTTGTATCAAAAAATTTAAGTAGTTGAGTAAAAACAATCAATCATAAGATTTTTTATGGCAATAAATTGGACATTATTTATCATGCTAAAAAAAAATTAACGGTGCATTTCACACAAAAATTATGTGAAATGTCGTAACAAAAAGTGAATTAAATCGAGACCCACAATACAAATAAAAAAATTGACCAGAGCTTTTTCTATAAAAAAAATTGATACACGCACATTATATCAAAATGTCCGTTCATGTTATTTTGTCGGAGTTACGGTAATTTTGTGGGAGTTTAATTTCATACGAAAAATTGAAACTCACGCCTAAAAACCAATATATTGGCCTACGCATTATTGAAAAAAGTACACTGATATTGATTGATTTTTCAACAAATTTTCTACCAAAAAACAGTCATCAAATAACCTAAATAAATTTGCTCACTTTATACTATATATTGATTAATTTATTTCCAATAGAAACAACCATCAATACCAAAAATAAATTTGTCCACTTTATATCATATATTAATTAATTCACGTGATTTGAGTAATTAAAGTATCTTAAAATATGGCTTAATTACTTTCTTAAATAATGAGGCGCAATTTCCATAAGTGATTATTTAAAATATACCAGAAATTATTAAATTCATTTCCCAAAATAGTAAATAGATTTTTTTGAAGAGATTTAATTATATTTAAAAAACAATCAAACCTTTTTATATATAATTTTTTTTTTGCAAGTGGTTCATACCATCACTTTTAATTCAAATGCTTTGGCTTTACTTGCCCCTTTCTTCAATATTTTACATTAGGTTAGAGTTATAATGAAAAAGTCTGACTAACCATTTTCTGCCTAGCTAACTTTTTTACTTTTCTTTACAAGTGTTAATCACTATTAAGTTACTTTGAGCATATGAAAAAAAATTAGTGGAAACACGTCTATATAATCAAATGTGGTGAAAGTTAGAAATCAATAATTACTGATCAAAATCTTGGTCATGGGCATAATTACTGATCTAACTTTACACAAAACCAATAACCGATAAATAATTCAAATTTGAAATCATTCAAAAATTATAAAGCCTTATTAATCCTTGGTCAGTCTAAAGTTTAAACTAAACCATATGCTTTTCTTTTTTTTTTTT